CTTTGGGCAATTTCTGCGTCTTCGATCCAGGTCTGGGTTACGGTGCTAGACTACTGGTGGGTTCCCATAAACAGACCTCTTCCAGCATTTAATAAATTCCTGTGAATCATTTCACAAGGACCGACTTAAAAAAAAAAACTAGGATTAACCCAATAATTACCCTAATCAGCTCACGTTTGGCAGTAAAGGGAATTATGGACAAGAAGGAATTTCTATTCTGGAAAAATGTAGATATTTATAAGAAGCCTTTATCTCAGTCCATATATAAATGGGTTCTAGAAACGAGACACACAGGGGGAAATGACCTAAAAAATAATAAATAATGGTGCCTTTTTTCTGTAATGCTACAAAATAACCTGTCTTTCTGCCACTTATTACTATTTTATCATTGATAACACCAATAGGATAAGATGGAGGGGGAGGATTCACATTCACAAGTTGCAGAATTGTTGGTACTTTATACAAAATGTTAAACAATGAAAGCGGTTTACCTTACGGTCTCAGAAAATATACATAAAGTAGTGTTCCTGCTCCCCTTAGCCTCAAGTGTGAATCATCACCACTCCCATCACTACTCGCACCGCCGCTCTCTGGAAATAAGTTATTAAACATTGAAAATTCCTAGAAGTGTTAACCTTTTTCATGAGTTAAGGTTTTCTTTTACAGCAATATTGAAGATTTAGCAAATGGCATCACAATCCACTTCCTTCCTGGCACAGCCAGGCATTGCTCCACTCACTATGTACAATGACAGAACGCAGCAGAACAACAAACAGGAACCCAAGATGGAGGCAAACACTGAGGGTGCACAACCAAATCTTGTCCCTGAATGGTCAATCTCAGGCCTGAAGCCCTCGGCGTACAGAGTTAAAGGGAGAAACAACTGACCGTGCCCCCTGCCGTCCGCAGAAATCACCACAGTCTATCATTCCAAAAAGAGTTTGTGTACCCCTAGGATATACAATGCTGTGAATTTCTACAATAAATTTTATTTTTCAGATCCCACATATTTGTCAAATATAGTGATAATAAATAGATATTTATAAAAAAATTAATATTGAAATCTGTTCCATTTTAAGATTGCAGGTTTCATTGATTAAGCAGTAGATACTCATGTACTGCAAGCTTTAGACGCTCACATTCCCATAAATGGGTCAGAAATAAGAGGACATGCATTCGGCTATAGCTGTGATATGATACCAAGCCTTCTCGTCATTAACCCACGAACGCCCCCTTTATTACAAGTGATTACTTTTACAGCCACAGCAGCCGTCAGAGCAAATATTGATATTTAAGTAGTATTCTCCAAAGCAGAGTGTGTGTCTGGCGTCACGCAATCTCTGAGTGCTCAACAGGTAGGAGACAAGTTCCTGTGCGTCCCATGGCAGTTTGCCACCATAACAAGAGACTGCCATGCGTCTCACCCAAACACTGCAGAGGGATTAACATTCCTGCAGAGATTCCAGAGGAACCCTGTTATGTAATCACTTAAAGGGGAAGCATTGCTCCCAGGAAGCAGGGCTGGAGGATAAACATTATAGGCAAATTCAGCGATTTAGGGTTTATTTAAAAAAACTGAATTGAAAAATGAGGTTCACATGGTCAAGGTGACTCCACCAAGATGGAGAATTCCTCCAAATCAGCATTTATTTTGGCTGAATTGGCACAAAGGCTGGCTGTGATTATGTACACAGTGTAAGTGTGTGAGGTAAAACACGACATACCCCACCACACACAATTAGCTGCCACGCGTTAATTAAAGTTATATGAAAAAAAACAAAAACATTCTGATTCTGTTATTGTACTCAAACTAGGGGAAAACTGTGAACACAAGAAGTAATCTTGGAGGGCTACAAAGTATTTACCCCCAAGTGCCAAAGCACAGAAACTAAGATTAAACTGCACATATCCCTGGTTTTTAGAGGGTTATGGGGATGAGCTCTCAAAAAGTTAACTTGCATGATGTCCCTACACACACACACAGTATTCATGTCGCAGTGACAATGAGAAGAGATTCCAGGAGGTTACTGAAGTGCTGAAGTGTTCTTGTCACAGCTCATTTATCCTGTTATAGAAAGATAACACCTGGCATAATGTTAACACAAAGGAAGGCCCCTAACTTAACCGCAACGACGTAAGGTCACCTCCCATTATGTGGGAAATCAGCAAGTGTCTGACCGACAAATAGGCCTGCTATCCATCATACAGCCAACTTTTCCAACCCATCATACGGCCAACCCTTCCAACCCATCATACGGCCAACCCGTCATACGGCCAACCCTTCCAACCCATCATACGGCCAACCCGTCATACGGCCAACCCTTCCAACCCATCATACAGCCAACCCATCATACAGCCAACCCGTCATACGGCCAACCCTTCCAACCCGTCATACGGCCAACCCTTCCAACCCGTCATACGGCCAACCCTTCCAACCCGTCATACGGCCAACCCTTCCAACCCATCACACAGCCAACTCTTCCAACCCATCACACAGCCAACTCTTCCAACCCATCACACAGCCAACCCATCACACAGCCAACCATTCCAAACCAGTCTCAATAATCAGATTTGTTATTAACCCATAAAACACCTGTCTTCAAATAAGCCCAATGTGTAGTAATGCAGCCAGTGTGGTACATACTGCTGGCACTGCCCACTCAGCTGCCAGTGTGGTACATCCAGCCAGTGTGGAACATCCAGCTGGCATTGCCACTAGCCATCACTAGTACGGCACACCCAGTAAACAGAGCACATCCACCTAACGCCAGTGCAGCAGACCCAGCCGGCACTGCACACTTGGCCAACGCTAGCACAGCAAGACATACCCAGCCAGCACTGCACACACAGCCAATGCTAGCTCTTTAGGCACTCAAACCACTTCAGCTCATTGATGTGGTCTGGGTGCAGTGTCCCAGGACCCCTAACCCTGCAATTGTAATGAACAATTAACAAATAAACTGCAAAAATTACCCAAAAGGGTTAACTCCATCTCTAGAAGGGCTTCCGTGTGGTTAGGGAACTTTTGGTTGCATAATGGACGCTGAACATCCTCGTGCTCTATATCCTGTGTCACCCAAAATGCAGCGAGCACTTATGTGAATTAGGTTATCCCTGTCAGCGGAAAAGAAGCAGAGGTGGAGCCTGAACCAGCACAGAGGGACATCGCAGCTGGAGTCAGGTAAGTTACGAAGGGGTGGGCAGCACCGGGAGGGCAGCTATAATTTCCCTTTACTACAGTATCCCCACATTGTACGATCAATTCCCCACAATCTGTTTCCTTCATTCTAACAGCCGGCCATTCCGAATTAGTACATACAAGGCGTTTCATGGCAGCATAGAGCTCAGAGAAAGGGTTAACCTCCATGTCGCTTGCGGTATCACAACACACAAAAACTTGATGGGATCTAGTGACTGTTGGGTGCTCACAGGCATGAGCCATGACTTAAAAGTACAACACCATGTCAGAGCAAAGTACAAGGACCGATGATTGACAGCATGGGTCGTGCACAGGTGACAATTAATGAAAAGGTTGAAGAAGTCTAGAATGACCTTCTTTAAAGGCAGAAAAAAACAAAAACCTGCAAGCAGAAGATAAAACACAATAACCATTGCGATGGGACTGGAAGCAGGCTGGACTGGGCTATCATTACAGCTCATCTTTACTTTCTAAATATATCAATGTAAACACCGTATTAACTGTAGGGAGACAGAACACGTAGATCTACAGCAAGCTCAAATCATTTCCCAGCTCTGCTGCTTTCGTTTAAAATTCTGAGATACGATTGTTAGACAGCAGAAGTGCCGAAAAGGTAGATGCCCAGATGCTGTGTGTGCCTTTGGAATGCCTTTAGAATGACAAAGCATCATGGAAGTTGTAGTTTTAGAACATCTGGGATCTACCTTTTGGGCACCCCTGTTGTACCGTAATATGTACCTACTCCCACACACATATAACCACAAAAGACAATGCATGAATGAAAAATAGATCTGGCAACCAAAAGGTTTACCTCAAGGAAAAATAGTTACTTGTGCACGATTCCAAATCCCTATCAACGTTTACATAACTGGAGGTGTTTTAGTTTCACTCCAATGGCCCATAAAACGTAAGCTCACCTGCCACGTCAAGACAAACCTCTTAGACGAGTCCTACACTAACAATTCCCCTCTTGTATTCAGCTAAAAAGTAGAATCTCTAATGTGACAGTTGCAGAAGAGGAATCAATCAGGAGCCATTAACAGTTTAATTGATACGCTTTTATGAAGAAGTGGGTTTTAAAAGATTTTTTGAAGGAGTGGAGACTGGGTGAGCATCTAACGGAGGAGGGAAGCAAGTTCCACAGGAACAGTGCAGCCCTGGAAAAGTCTTGAAGGCGAGCATCAGAGGTGGGAGTACGGACAGAAGATAGACATAAGTCTTCAGCAGATCGTAAGGGCCTAGACGGGACATACTTGTGTATAAGGGAGGATAGATAGGTGGGAGCAGCATTATGTAGAGATTTGAAAGCAAGAACCAGAATTTTAAATTGAGCTCTATATTTTTTGGAAGCCAATGTAGGGACTGACAGAGGGGTGAGGCATGGGAGGTGCGGGCGGACAGAAAGATGAGCCTCGCCGCCGCATTCATTATGGACTGTAACGGAGCAAGTTGGGAGCACGTAAGACCACTGAGAAGTGGATTACAGTAGTCAAGGCAAGAGAGGACAGTGGAATGGACCAACACATCTATGGATTTATATAGTGTATAAACAGAGCGAGCCCTGCTTCTATCTATCTATGGATTTATATAGTGTATAAACAGAGCAAACCCCGCTTCTATCTATGGATTTATATAGTGTATAAACAGAGCGAGCCCTGCTTCTATCTATCTATGGATTAATATAGTGTATAAACAGAGTGAGTCCTGCTTCTATCTATCTATGGATTAATATAGTGTATAAACAGAGCGAGCCCTGCTTCTATCTATCTATGGATTTATATAGTGTATAAACAGAGCGAGCCCTGCTTCTATCTATCTATGGATTTATATAGTGTATAAACAGAGCGAGCCCTGCTTCTATCTATCTATGGATTTATATAGTGTATAAACAGAGCGATCCCTGCTTCTATCTATCTATGGATTTATATAGTGTATAAACAGAGCGAGTCCTGCTTCTATCTATCTATGGATTGATATAGTGTATAAACAGAGCGAGCCCTGCTTCTATCTATCTATGGATTTATATAGTGTATAAACAGAGCGAGCCCTGCTTCTATCTATGGATTTATATAGTGTATAAACAGAGCGAGCCCTGCTTCTATCTATCTATCTATCTGTGGATTTATATAGTGTATAAACAGAGCGAGCCCTGCTTCTATCTATCTATCTGTGGATTTATATAGTGTATAAACAGAGCGAGCCCTGCTTCTATCTATGGATTTATATAGTGTATAAACAGAGCGAGCCCTGCTTCTATCTATCTATCTATCTATGGATTTATATAGTGTATAAACAGAGCGATCCCTGCTTCTAACTATCTATGGATTTATATAGTGTATAAACAGACCGAGCCCTGCTTCTATCTATCTATGGATTTATATAGTGTATAAACAGACCGAGCCCTGCTTCTATCAATCTATGGATTTATATAGTGTATAAACAGAGCGAGCCCTGCTTCTATCTATCTATCTATCTGTGGATTTATATAGTGTATAAACAGAGCGAGCCCTGCTTCTATCTATGGATTTATATAGTGTATAAACAGACCGAGCCCTGCTTCTATCAATCTATGGATTTATATAGTGTATAAACAGAGCGATCTCTGCTTCTATCTATCTATCTATCTATCTATGGATTTATATAGTGTATAAACAGAGCGAGCCCTGCTTCTATCTATCTATCTATCTATGGATTTATATAGTGTATAAACAGAGCGAGCCCTGCTTCTATCTATCTATCTGTGGATTTATATAGTGTATAAACAGAGCGAGCCCTGCTTCTATCTATGGATTTATATAGTGTATAAACAGAGCGATCCCTGCTTCTATCTATCTATGGATTTATATAGTGTATAAACAGGGCGAGCCCTGCTTCTAGTATCTATCTATATCTATATCTATCTATCTATGGATTTATATAGTGTATAAACAGAGCGAGCCCTGCTTCTGTCTATCTATGGATTTATATAGTGTATAAACCGAGCGAGCCCTGCTTCTATCTATGGATTTATATAGTGTATAAACAGAGCGAGTCCTGCTTCTATCTGTGGATTTATATAGTGTATAAACAGAGCGAGCCCTGCTTCTATTTATCTATGGATTTATATAGTGTATAAACAGAGCAAACCCTGCTTCTATCTATGGATTTATATAGTGTATAAACAGAGCGAGCCCTGCTTCTATCTATCTATGGATTTATATAGTGTATAAACAGAGCGAGCCCTGCTTCTATCTATCTATGGATTTTATATAGTGTATAAACAGAGCGAGCCCTGCTTCTATCTATCTATGGATTTATATAGTGTATAAACAGAGTGAGCACAGCTTCTATCTATCTATGGATTTATATAGCGTATAAACAGAGCTAGCCCTGCTTCTATCTATCTATGGATTTATATAGTGTATAAACAGAGCGAGCACTGCTTCTATCTATGGATTTATATAGTGTATAAACAGAGCGAGCCATGCTTCTATCTATGGATTTATATAGTGTATAAACAGAGCGAGCCCTGCTTCTATCTATGGATTTATATAGTGTATAAACAGAGCGAGTTCTGCTTCTATCTATCTATGGATTTATATAGTGTATAAACAGAGCGAGCCCTGCTTCTATCTATGGATTTATATATAGTGTATAAACAGAGCGAGCCCTGCTTCTATCTATGGATTTATATATAGTGTATAAACAGAGCGAGCCCTGCTTCTATCTATCTATCTATGGATTTATATAGTGTATAAACAGAGCGAGCCCTGCTTCTATCTATCTATGGATTTATATAGTGTATAAACAGAGCGAGCCCTACTTCTATCTATGGATTTATATAGTGTATAAACAGAGCGAGCCCTGCTTCTATCTATCTATGGATTTATATAGTGTATAAACAGAGCGAGTCCTGCTTCTATCTATCTATGGATTTATATAGTGTATAAACAGAGCGAGCCCTGCTTCTATCTATCTATAGATTTATATAGTGTATAAACAGAGTGAGTCCTGCTTCTATCTATGGATTTATATAGTGAATAAACAGAGCGAGCCCTGCGTCTATCTATGGATTTAAATAGTGTATAAACAGAGCGAGCCCTGCTTCTTTCTATGTATTTATATAGTGTATAAACAGAGCAAGCCCTGCTTCTATCTATCTATGGATTTATATAGTGTATAAACAGAGCGAGCCCTGCTTCTTTGTATGGATTTATATAGTGTATAAACAGAGCGAACCCTGCTTCTATCTATGGATTTATATAGTGTATAAACAGAGCGAGCCCTGCTTCTATCTATCTATGGATTTATATAGTGTATAAACAGAGCAAGCCCAGCTTCTATCTATCTATGGATTTATATAGTGTATAAACAGGGCGAGCCCTGCTTCTATCTATCTATGGATTTATATAGTGTATAAACAGAGCGAGTCCTGCTTCTATGGATTTATATAGTGTATAAACAGAGCGAGCCCTGCTTCTATCTATCTATGGATTTATATAGTGTATAAACAGAGCGAGTCCTGCTTCTATCTATCTATGGATTTATATAGTGTATAAAAAGAGCGAACCCTGCTTCAATGGATTTATATAGTGTATAAACAGAGCGAGCCCTGCTTCTATCTATCTATGGATTTATATAGTGTATAAAAAGAGCGAGCCCTGCTTCTATCTATGGATTTATATAGTGTATAAACAGAGCGAGCCCTGCTTCTATCTATCTATGGATTTATATAGTGTATAAACAGAGCGAGCCCTGCTTCTATCTATCTATGGATTTATATAGTGTATAAACAGAGCGAGCCCTGCTTCTATCATATATGGATTTATATAGTGTATAAACAGAGCGAGTCCTGCTTTTGTCTATGGATTTATATAGTGTATAAACAGAGCGAGCCCTGCTTCTATCTATCTATGGATTTATATAGTGTATAAACAGAGCGAGCCCTGCTTCTATCTATCTATGGATTATATAGTGTATAAACAGAGCGAGCCCTGCTTCTATCTATGGATTTATATAGTGTATAAACAGAGCGAGCCCTGCTTCTATCTATCTATGGATTTATATAGGTATAAACAGAGCGAGCCCTGCTTCTATGGATTTATATATTGTATAAACAGAGCGAGCCCTGCTTCTATCTATCTATGGGTTTATATAGTGTATACACAGAGCGAGCCCTGCTTCTATCTATGGATTTATATAGTGTATAAACAGAGCGAGCCTTGCTTCTATCTATCTATGGATTTATATAGTGTATAAACAGAGCGAGCCCTGCTTCTATCTATCTATGGATTTATATAGTGTATAAACAGAGCGAGCCCTGCTTCTATCTATCTATGGATTTATATAGTGTATAAACAGAGCGAGCCCTGCTTCTATCTATGGATTTATATAGTGTATAAACAGAGCGAGCCCTGCTTCTATCTATCTATGGATTTATATAGTGTATAAACAGAGCGAGCCCTGCTTCTATCTATCTATGGATTTATATAGTGTATAAACAGAGCGAGCCCTGCTTCTATCTATCTATGGATTTATATAGTGTATAAACAGAGCGAGCCCTGCTTCTATCTATCTATGGATTTATATAGTGTATAAACAGAGCGAGCCCTGCTTCTATCTATCTATGGATTTATATAGTGTATAAACAGAGCGAGCCCTGCTTCTATCTATGGATTTATATAGTGTATAAACAACCCTAAGTATTTCTAATATCCTGAGAGGGTAACACAGGAGAAAGCCTATTATTTGAACTGCAACTCCCAGAAAACCATGCGATAGTCATAACTGCTTTAGAAGACAATGAAAGAATTGGGACTGGCAATCACTTTCTGGTCTTGCTAGAGGTCACTGCAGAAGCCGCAAAGACTCTGGATTTACAGCAAATGCAAGTTCTAGGTCAGCCCCTGGAGTGTACTATTAAAACAAAGCACTGGCAAATGGCAATGTTTGCGGAGCTGGTCCACCCCTTTCTGGGCGAGAAAGTAAGCTCTTTGCTCTGAAGCAGAGTCCAAGGTTATTCCTACCCCATGCTGACTGTGGAATGATGTAACAACTCACTGTTTAAAAAACAAAAAATTTAATTCAAACAAACATTCAAGTGAACTTTGATCATAAAGAGATTCGTGAAACACTATCCATTCTCGTTGCGCTCACTGGGATGAGCCCGGTGTGTAACCATACGGCCTCTTTCTTCCTATTATAGAGATATTTACAATAACGATTAGCCACGTTCTTGTCTTCTAGAACGGCCACAGATTCTTCAGGCTTTCGTAAGATGCTCTTCTACAGTCAGCAATAGCTGACTGCATTGATATTAACTACCCCAATGAGCGCAAGAAACGAGAACAGTCTTATACCCTAATCTTTCCAGTGCAAAATGCATGGTATAAATAATATACATCCTCAGTGCAGGGATAAAAATTCCCCAGGTATTTGCACAGTGCAGGCACTACCGACATTAAAGGCATTCATTTCCTGAAATGTACCATCGATACCAGTATACAAAGGACACACGCAGGCAAGGTTAACCCGCGGACCACTAGAAGGCACCACTATTCACAAACTCTTGGGATGTCGTTGATGGCTCTTACAGGGCTCCTGATAAATCTCAGAAAAGGGAGGCACTATGCCAATCTTTGGGAAAATGCTCTAAATGCAAAGGGTGGAATGGAAGAGATGAAGAGGATTCTTCAGAACCTCACCTTCCCCTGGTTAGCACCACAAAAAAACTGAACGGGTCATAATAAGAGCAAGGTGGTGGAGGCAGGACGACATTACACCCACT